ACAATCAGTGTTATATTGTTGTGTTATAAGAAACGACAAGCAGGATGATTTCAGAAAAACTTCGAAATGCTTACATGAACTGGTGCATAGTGAAATGAACAGAACCAGGAGGACATTGTATACAGTAACCGCAATATTGTCTGATGAAGAACTGTGAGTGATTTAGCTATTCATAACAATACAATAATCTAAGACAATCCCAAAGGGCTAAAGATGAAGCATATTATCCACCTCCAGAGAAAGAACTGACATTATTTGAATACAGACTGAAGCATGCTATTTTTCACTTTCTTTCTTTCATTTTTTTCTTTCAATTCAAGTCTTCTTGTACAAAATGACTAATATGGAAATGTTTTACATAATTTGTACGTGTATCACCTATATGTGATTGCTTACCATCTCAAGGAGGAGGGAATGATAGAATTTGGAACTCAAAACTTTAAATAAAAATGTTTTAAAACTTTTTTTAAAAGTAGCAGGCAAAAAAAAAAGAATCAATTTGTTGCTCTTTGCCCAGAATTGTATCTCTCCTATGTTTTTATCATAACTTGCAGGCATCTTACTTTTAATTATCTTTGCCTGATGAACCTGTATGTGTTATCTATCTATTCCAGCCCACACCTCTTCCTTCTCCCTCCTAATTACTGTTGATTTCCTGATTGTTTGTCCTTTGGCTAACAGGAAGTGCCTGTTCTATTCAGCACTCCAAAGCTTTACCGGGCAGTTTTCCACATTTTAGCAGCAGGAGCTAAGTGGTGGATGGTAGATGGGGGTAGATATTAGTAGTGGTATGGGGATGTGGCAACAAACCAACCGAGTTTGCTTGTTAACATTGACTATAATACTCTCTATCCACACAGAGTGGGAAAGTGGGTAGTGAGTTAAAGTTCCACTAACTCCAACCTGGGGTTACTGCAAGCAATGAGTTAATTTAGCAGCTCAGGAAACTGAGTCCCAGAGGGAGTGGTGCTTGGCCCAGAGTAAAAGAACAATGGAGGCAGATCCCAGATCACTTGACTTTCTGAGTTCTACGACCTCTCCCAGTGGCTCACTACCCAATTCACAAACTATCTTAATCACAGGAAACACACGCAACTTCTGACTTCCTCTTCATTTCTGGGGACTGGTGGCAAGTGGTTTGGCTTGGAGAGAGGGGTAGGCAGAAATAAAGTTTTAATAGATCTAAGAGCTTTAATATTCCATCTTTCTGGTTGTTCTTTTCCATCTTCATCTATGAGACTGAGCAGTCTTTTGATATTTGAGAACTATAGTTATTTAGCTAAGATTTTGGAGTAGGGGGTTGATGTGGGGAGTACCACTATTATCAGGAATTCTTGAAACTTTCATCTCTTTTTGAATAAAGCAGTGAATGAGGGACATTTCTGAAATAAACTGCTTTTTGTGGGGGGTGAGAGGGTTGAGGGCAGAAAGGGCCCAGAATTCAGATCGAGGATTTCCAGGATTTAGAAGAAAATAGTGCTTTATCCTTGCAAAGTTCTTTATATACATTATCTCATTTGCTCATCACCACAGCCCTATAAGGTAGGTGATACAAATATTACTGTATCCACTTTTTCAATGAGGAAACAAATTCAGAAAGTTGTGACATATGTAGCTAGTAAGTCACAGGAGTGTAGGGTGTGCTCAGGAAGGGACTAGTACCACTGGTGTGAGAACTGCTGAGCCCTTTTCAGGACCGCTTTCTATCTTTTCCACTGATTCACCCAACTCCCACCTGTGGCTCCAAGAAGCTGTAGCATGCCCAGTGGCCATACCCTGGTAAAACCATATCAGCAGATGGGCTAAACCAGGTTGTGGGTAACTGAGGGGTCTCAGACCCTTAGTGAGTTAGAGGGGTGTCTACCCCAAATACGTGAAGACTTCCCTTTGCATGAGAACAATTTGTTTTAATGGCCATGAAGGCTACTGAAGCAGGTACTGTGGAGTGCTTAGACCTTGGTTAGATGTTGAAGATGTCAAGATCATGGACTACATACAGAACCATCGCCAGTCATCTTGACCTTATCTTGCCTCTGGACAAGAGAATGAGGCAGAAAACTTAGAGCAGCTCTGCCTCACTTAAATCTAATTTATGTGCAAATCAAAAGACATCACTCATACCATTTTACCATTTTTATCTACCTCAAAGTCCTGTGTTGACAGGCAAATGACGACGTAGCAAGTGGTATGGATACTCTGGGAGCTATAATCACAACCCTGCACACAGGCCATAGACTTGTCTTCTCACTGGACTGAAGCAGCAGCCGGATTCAGCAGCTCCGGGGTGAGGTACTGATCAGCCTTTTTATTTATTTATTAATTTGCTAGGCAATGGGGTTAAGTGACTTGCCCAGGGTCACACAGCTGGTAAGTGTTATGTGTCTGGGGTCCTCCTGAATCCAGGGTCGGTGCTCTATCCACTGCACCACCTAGCTGTCCCATGATCAGCCTTTTTAAAGGACTGCACTGCTCACCTCCTGAAGTGAGGAAGGGGCTAGAAAAGATACTCTAAAAACTGTCTGCTTCATCCAACCCTGACCTGCTTACTATGGCAGGTAGGGATCCTACCCTGTGGCCAAAATGCAAAAAAAAAAGAAATGTACAAAAATTTTGTGAAAATGATTTCACTCACCACTGGCACGTGCAATGTTCACATGCTTACAGACAACACAAAATCTAGTAAACCTGAAAGATGAACAGCTCTTGTTGAGAGAGAATAGTGGGTATTGCATCCCAATATTAACGCTGAGTGAAACAAGGCTGTCAACTTACTGAAGCTGGAGCTGGTTACATGTTTTCCTGGAGTGGCTGAAGTGAAGGGGAACATGGTGAAGCTAGCATAGATTTTGAAATAAAAACTAATCTAGTCCACAAGTTTGTGTGCCCACCAAAAGGAGTGAAAAACAGGCTCATGACGGTGCAACTGCCACTTGCAGGAAAGCACCGTGACACATCTATGAGTGAAGCAAAATTACAGTAGCTCAAAAGAAATGTGAGATGCTCAGATTTAGACACATCTCTTCTCCAAATGTTCTTGTGGACTATTTGTGCCCGACCTGTGGTAGCCTTCCAAGCTTGTATTCAACCACAGATGGACACACTGTACCTTGACTCCAACATAGTGATGTCATTTCGGTCCTCTTCAAGAACGAAGGACAACAGCCAATCAACCAGTAAGTCACAGTTGAGAATCTAATTAAGGTCTTCTGGTTTTTAAGTTCAGAGCTTTTTATACTAAACCCTGATTCTTTCCTTAGTTCTAATTTTCTTCTCTTATGTTATAATGCATCTCAACCTCTCCTGTCTTCCTCTGCTATCTGTGGTTACTTCAACTCTAGAATGGAAAACTATAATTCTGGATTGGACACCTCTGGACTGAACTCACAGATAGGCTGAGTGCCATTTTATGTGTCTTTTCTCTTCTCAGACTCATCTATAATACTGGATTCCATTCTGGGCACCATGGGTTAAGAAAGACATATTAGCACAGCTGAGTTTGTCAGACCAGCTTTAACTTAGAAGATGAAATGACCATGACCTAGAGGGGAAGAGATTCTAAATAGTAAATTTTAGAGGGTGGTGGGTAGAATAGGTGGAAGGGAGAGAGAACATAATAGGAATAAATTCTATATTACTGTGGGGAGAAAGGTAGAGTAAAATTGGGTATTGACCTGCAAGAGCAGTCACAGCTTACATGGGAGCACTCCAACAGAAGTTCTGAGCTGTAAGCACTACGAGATGGCTTCTGGGTGCTAGGTCTGGTTGATAGTACATCTGAAATGGTGACTAAAAGGGGAAGGCTTTCAAAGTGTGTGGGGAATAGGTATCTAGAAATTGTAGGTAGTTATAAATTAACTTAGTTTCCTATCTGGACTCCTATTTGGTCAACCTTTACCTAGCCTAGACATTAGGGGAGGAAAAGTAGCTAGGGAAAGGGCAGAACAGGCTTCAAGGAGGCAGGACAGTGAAGGCAAAACTAGATTATGATAGTTTTACCTAAAACTGGTCTGTTTTTTAGAGCATCCCCAACTTCTTATTGTATCTCCTTTTAGTCTTCTACTGTAATACTGGATCTTTCCAGCCTTCCCCCCTTTCCCTAGCCCTTCCTGAATTCCTCAGAGAGGAAGAAAGATGTTTCTATCAAGTCAGTCCCAAGATCAATATCCCTCAATGGCTTTTGGTCTCCTAAAGAGTCAAATCTAAACTCTACCTATTTGTCAAAGTCCTCTATAATCCAGACTGACTATACCTATATACCCTTATTTTTCTCTATTCTCAGGGATATTTCTGCTCTAGTCAGACTGGTTTCCTTATTGCCCAAGGAACAGAGCATGCTCATTTCTAACTTGTTACCTCCACTTATGTCACGGATTCTTAATCTGTCTTGTGTCACGGTCTCCTTTGACAATCTGCTGAAGCCTATGGACCTCTTCACAAAATAATGTTTTAAAATGCATTTGTTTTTAAATAAAACAAAATGCATAGGATTACAAAGGAAACCTTTGTAATCTCTCCACCTTGCATCTGCTGCCCTCTCTGGTTTCCCCTCCACATAACAACATGTCCCTCCCAGGATAAACTCACCAAAGTACTGTTTACTCAAGCCTGCATTGACTCCACCTCCCTCAGCCACCTTTCCCCTTTGTTTAGAGGACTGAAAGGTAGAGCACCAAACTCCTCCCAATCCTTTTATAGAGGGCAGAAACTGGACTCTCATCACTCCACTTTGCATCTGCTGCCCTACCTGGTTTCAGCTCCATGGAACAAGATGCCCTCACACCTGGTACCCCTTGATATCCCATCAATCCCCCCACACCTTCCAGCCCTTCTCTCCTTCTTTTGTGTGTTGTCTCTTCCTTTAGATTGTAAGCTTGTTGAAAGCAGGGACTGTCTTTGTTTTTGTTAATTGTATATCCCCAGCCCTTAGCACAGTGCCTGGCATGTTGTAGGTATAGGTACTTAATAAATGTTTATTGGATTTATTGGATTGGAAACCAAAGTTAGTGAAAATACAGATGGATTTTTTTTCTATCCAAATTCACAAGCCCACTGAAATCTATCCATAGACTCCCTCAGTATCCATGGACCACAAATTGAGTCCTTTGCCTGGAAAGTTCTCCTCTCTCACTTCTGCCTAACAAATCCTATTCATCCTTCAAGGCCCTTCTTCTATGATGACTTCCTTAACTATTTCACCCTTCATTGATCTTCCTTACTTCTGAATTTCTATGATATTAACAGCACATAATTTAGCATTTAACTATATTATGTTCTAAAAATCTTAGTGCAGTTTTAAGCTTTCACAGCTTAAATAGATTTTTGGGATACTCTGTACTTATATTGTTCAATGTTCTTAGTCTATCCTTCTAAGTTCTCTCTGCAAAATTTAATACTGTTGACCATCTTCTCCCAAATATTTCCTCCTCTCTGGGTTTTGTAACACTATCCTCTCTTGGTTTTCCACTACTCTGTCTGACTGCTTCTATTTGGTTTCCTTTGCTAGATCATCATCCCTAACTATGGAAAGGCTCCATCCAGGGTCTTCTTTTCTACTCTCTCTATACCTTTTCTCTTGTTGACCTCATCAGCTCCTCTTGGTGACTACCGGATCTATATATTCAATTCTACTTTTTCTTTTGAATTCCAGTCTCAAATCACTGCCTACTGGACATTTTCAACTGGATAGCCGATAGGCATCTCAAATAACACATCCAAAAAAAATTTAATTATCTTTTTACCTCTAACCTACCCATCTTGCTGATTACTTGAAGAACAATTCCACTATGCCCCAAGCTTCTGTTTCTTCAGGTCCACTTTGGAAGATTCAAAATAAGCAACAGAAGTATATGTATGGAATTAAAAAAATTTAATTGCAGACTATATGGGGGAAGTGATTAATTTCTGTCTAACATGCACCCCTCCCCAAAGGCAGAGAAATTCCCTAAGCCTAAGGTGTAGGCAGAGAAATTCCTCTCTGACCGTTCAAAAAGAAGAAATCAAAACACAGTTTCTTCCCTTCAATTCAATTCAATAAACATTTATTAAACTCTTAATTTAGGCTAGGCACTAAGGACACAAAAACAAAAAGGAAAATAGTCCTTCAACTGCTTATAGCCCTTTTCCTGACAGATGATACTTGTACTGAAAAAGAAAACAGTAAATGAAAAGTATTGAATCTTTTTTTCATTTTGTGGGTCGTGCAACGATTTCAGTGATCCCAAAGTGCTTTGTATTGAAAAGGTCTATCACTTAAAATAACAGTATTCATTCTCCTTGAGATGCTAATATGTTTTCTAATCATGGAAGATTATGATCTCAGAAGAATTAAATTTAGGAATAGCCAGAATGGTAATGAAAAGATGGGGTGAGTCTAAGTAATGATAGCTCACATTTGAAAACCATTCCACAGTTTACTAAGTGGTAAATATTATTATTCCTATTTTATAGATAAGGAAATTGTTACTTAAAGAACTTGGAGCTTACATAGTAGGGTCACAGAACTAGGAAGCCAGGGCCTGAACCCAGGGATTTTTTTACTCCAAATCTATGCTGCAGGATGTTGCTTTAAAAAAAAGAGAGAGAGACAGAGAGAGAGAGACTTTCACTGGAGAATTCATGTAAAAAAAAATCAAGGAAATATATTATCAGAAAAGGTGGTGAGTCATATGTTGAGAATGAAGGACTGATAATCTTAGTAGTCTATCAGGATACCTGTGATACCAAAAGGACAAGAGGAAGGCCAGTGTGTTGGATAAATCTAATAGGATTTATGGGCAAACGTAGTGATGAACTGGATGCAACAACATGGAGAGGTTTTGTTCTGCATTGATAGAGGGAGTGCCTATAACAGTGAAATCATGTATACCAAGTACCCAATTGTTCTTTGTTTGTTTGGGTTTTTTTTGGTAGGTAATGAACATGTATACCTCTCAAATTATTTCTACTTGGAAATCATGACCTCCTACTTTCATTCCAGAGGGAACAGTGGTAGGAGAATCTGCTCATCAAAGACTTTCTTAGAGAGGTGTAGACCACAGAGGCTCTAGTCCTACTCCCATCCCCATTTCTCTATCCTGTGGCCACTCCAACCCTTGATTTTAGCCCATTTTTATATATCTAGGGAAGTATCAGCAGGCCATTTTCAGACTTTGAGACTGTCCCCGGCCTTGTTCCTTTCCTCAAGTATTCTACCCCCTTTTCATGTTGTTCCTACCAAATTTAAAGTATTAGTTAGGTTATTAAAATGGGTGTGGGAGTGTTCATCAGATGGAACACCAGAAAACAAGGATTCCAGTAAGTACTAGGGTCAGGTGAGCTGTAAGCCTGAGGGGAACTCCAGCATCACGAGGAAAGAGATGCAACTTCTCCAGGTCTGGCAAAAAGGCCCGAGCATCCTCTAGGGCAGCTTGAGCAGCCAGAGTGAAGTTGGGGTCACCAGAGGTCAGAACATCAAAGACACATGAATGGAAATAAGCATCTTCAACTGGTAGTCCTTCTTTGCACAACTGCTTAGCAGTATCAAAGGTCAGAGCCCCTCTTCGTTGTCGCTCCAACCGGGAGAGTCGCTGGCTTGGGGGACATCCCTCTACGCAGAGCTGTAGATCTTGTTCAGCTGAGAATGCTCCTGCTACTTCTTCAGCTGCCCGAATAGAGAAAGAGAGCTGACCAGCTGCTTGCCGAATAATGATGGTTGTACCAATGTAGGCAGCTCGGATCTCCACATGGCTCCCAGGGGCCTCTGCTCGGATGGTCAGACTTGAACCTCCAGGACGGTCACCTCCATTGACCGATCCGTCTTCAAAAGCCGCTGGGAGATTGTTCACTTCAGCCTGGTAGACTTTTTGGTCGATACATTCCTGCATGTTCTTAAATATAATGGTGAGCTGTTTGGGGGAGAAGAAGAAAGGTTCGTTTCCGGTCAGCTTGATCTTCCCTAAAGTCACCCTCTTCCCCAGCCCTAAATCCATCTATTCCATGCTAAAACACCCTGATCTTTCTTCTTCACTGCACTCTCATCTCTTCCCCTAGGCCTCCCTGAATACCAAGCAGTCCCTGTTGCCAGTTCAAATCAACATTCTTTCCTCCCTCCTCCTACCTACAGTCTCAATCGTAGCAGCTCCCATAGGACTGAGTTCCCCTCTTTTAGAAACTTCCCCATCTGAGCCTTTGTTTACTTAGGGCTCTGCCACTCCCGCTTTTTCTTCTGGATTATCTGAACATGGAAAGTGACCAATAAGAAGGAGTAAAGGGAGATGCTGGTGAGTGAAGGGAATCATGAAAAGCTGTGGGGACGAAGTAGTTAATAGTAGTAACGGAGAGGGAGAGTCTGACTGGGAGAGTGGCCAACTGTGGGGGGAGGGGCCAGCAAAGGCAGGGAATTATGAGGAATGACCAATGAGGACCAGAGTGGCTAGTGTGCATTTTGGGGGGTAACCAGTGCCAGAGAGACTAATCAGCAAGTGGTTGCGCGAGTCGTGGTTGTGGAACCAAAGCTGTTCACAAGGATTGACAGGATTGACTGTCTACACCCTGACCTTCCCCGTGGTAGTGGCGTTGGCTCCGGTGGCCACCGGGTAGCTAGTAGCCTGGACGAAAAGGAAGTCGTTGTCCAAAAGAGGCCAGGAGCCTTGGACACGGCACGTGTGGAAGTGGTGGTGGAAGCTGCGTACGTGGGGGTCCCCAAAGGCAGCGCAATGCAGGAAGCCCGGGGGACGACCATGTAGCCTAGAAAACCGGCTTTCGTAGTCACAGGGGTCCGGAGCAGGGGGGCCTGAAGAAAGGGCGGGGCCAGCGCCAGGAGGGGCGGGACCCTGCGGAGGAGGCGGGGCCGTGGGACCCTGGCGGGAGCAGTTGTGTTGGATCATCAAATCTTCTATCCCGTGGACCGCAGAATGGAAGGCCAAGTCCCCTCGGCAGGTACGCGCAGTACGCCGCGTGCAGAGCGCATAGGAGCGCAGGGCGCGACATAGGCCACCAGAGTTCGCTCCTGGGCCCCGGACTCCACCTCCCCGGTTCCCTCCAGAAGATCCCCCACTTCGTAGGTTCAACGTGGATGATACATACTCAGCGTTGCAGCGGAGGATTTTGCACTGAGAGTGAGCTGGTAGGGGGAGGGGGAAATGGGAGGCGGGAGAAGAAAGGGGAAAGAAGGAGTGGGGAAATGGAGAATGAAGGATGTTATTGTCAGAAAAGCCCTAGATTATATCCTTATCCACAGTAGCCCCCGACACCCCTCCCCCAGATCATTGGGAGGGCCCCAACCTTCCAAATTCCATATGCCAATTGAGGACCACTTCTTCAACCTCCATCAGACAGCTGCTGACCCCTTAGCCTTTCCCTATGGCCCTGTAACAACGTATGCAGTCACCGAGGCTCCCAAAGAAACACCGTCCCTCACCCCGCCTCCCGGGGTCTCTCCCTTCCTCCTCCCTCCTCCTCTCCCCGAACAGAGTTCTCCTTGATCTGTGGTATACCGGTTGTAGTCCTGAGTTTGGATAGGAATGATTGGGATCCCTCAGGCCTTTATTACATTCCCTTTCCCCTTCCCTCCCCAGACCCTTCCCTAACCCTCCCCTTACCATGTCCACAGAAGAGCAGCAGAAGAGTGAGGGTGCTTAGTGAGCTGCCACGGGGGGACCAGGGACTTGGGGAGTGGCTTGGTTCCCTCATCCCTATCCAGCCAGGTCCCCCCTGGTCCCCAGGTCTCTTCCAACTGATGGCTGGATCCCCTGGAAGGGACCTCAGTCACAGAGAAATCTGGTTGGGGGTTGAGGTGAGAGGAGCCAAAGTCTGAGTGAGAAGTGTTATAGGGGATCTAGGGAGGTCAAAGAAATGATGGGAGATAGGAATGAGAAGAGAGTACTGGGGGATTTAGGGTTTGGGGAACCTTTCTGGCCCTGTGTCTGCCTCCCATGGTCACCCCAGGGCACTTGTGCAACACCCGGGTCAGAGGTGGAGGGAAGATGGGGCGGGTGTTGGGGTGGGAGCAGAGTCCACTGTACTGACCCATCCTGAACTGACCAAACAGCAGAGGGGTCAAAAAACAAATGACCAAGGGCACAGAGCTACTCTGTTACCCCAATGGGCCCCTCAATGAGAATATAATCTGAGAACATTTCAGAAACACAACTCATTTGCTTGTGGGTTTACTGAAGACCCAGGTGACTTGCCATTCCCTCCACTAGTGGATCAAGAGAATGAAAAAGAAGGGTTAAAGCTATTAATATCCAAAGCCTATTTTGAACAGTGACATGCAGATCAATTTCTTTTGGAACCTAGAGAGTACTAGATAGGTGTTAGCCACCTGCTAGCTTTCTCCATTGAATAACAAGTGCAAAACAAGTGTGCAAATCAATCTTTTTTTCCTGATCCAACAGCTACTTCACTTTTCCTAATATTCCTGTGATGCTACTCTCAACTACGAACCCCTTCAGCCCTGCAAATATAGAATAATCCGACCCCACCCCCCATACATTCAATACCTCTCTCTTCCCCACTGGAAGGAAGTGGTAAGACTAATCACCCACCACTAATCTCCTCCTGGTGGAGAACCTAGGGCTAAAATTGGGGTGGAGGAAGGAAAAGGTCATACAGGTGAAGCATAGACTGGAGAGGGGCTGATATTGTGAAGGGAGATCTATAGTTGAGAGTTGCCTCTCATACCCACAATTCAGAAGCTTTGTGTATAGCTGGAGGGTGGAGGGGTGTCAGTGACCAAATATCTGAGACTATAATTAGCTTTGGCAGAGAGAACCACAAAGGTGGAGGCTTAGAGAACACCCCCTAAACCCCACCAGAAAGTCTGAGACAAATGGTGAAAATGGAACAGGAGGATTTCTGACTGTGAGACCCAGATGTTGGGGGGAAAGGGTGGTGAGAGAGACTGGGTATAGCCCTTTAGTCTTTCTCCTAGAGAAACATTCCTCTCAGCCAAGTCATCTTACTAGACAATTTCTCTCCCCCTTCCCGCTTTGTCACAGAGTACTCCTTGCTCTAGGATATACCCCATGTAGTCAGCATGTCTGCATGCATTTCTCACGTCAGCATGAGGAGATCGAGACTACCAACCTATGTAGCCTAGAGGAACTGAGGTTGGTGTCCATGATTCCCAGCATTAAGAAAAATGCAAACTCAGATCCTAACCCAAAACTTTCTGAAAGAAGCTTTAACTTTGTGGTGACTTACCTCTGTGTCTAGAGGTCAAGTGTCAGTCTGATATCCAGTTTTCCATCCAGTGTTGCCTATTGTCTGTCAGCTTTATCCAAGGGTCCCATATCTCCTTTTCCATGTCCTTTTTCTCTCAACTCCAGTACCGACCCCTAGCTACAATCTGTCTGAGGGCAAGGAGCTAGGAAAGCTTTGGGGGGGGGGGGTGAGGAGGGAACATACAACCAAAGGGATTGACAGCTGGGGATGGGGGAGAGAGGCTGCGTTGAGGTGGAAGGAGGCCTGACCACTGAGTTGAGAGTTTTAAAAATAGCCAGGACCATAATTCTGGGGGGAGGGAGGGAGCAGGAGAGCAGAAAGACTTGTATGTTTGTGTGTGTATATGTGTGTGAATGTATGTGTGTGTTTACGTGTATAGAGAGATCAGAGTAGTAGCCATTACAGGGAAAGGGGTCAGATATCCAGTTCCATCCTGCATGAAACCCCAGTCACTGTCTCATCCAGTCAGTCCTTAGGGATTGCTAAAACATAGGGTCCTGCCCTTGAGGAATTGGGCAAGTACTTTGATATGTCCCCACTTACCAAGCCCTTTGGATATTGCTACCTACTCTCTACAGATGCTATTTGGGGGTGGAAAGCAGCTATCATTAAATAAAAACTACAGCAGGAGATAAATCCCTCCCCAAAATTCCTCAACCCCTCCCTTCCCCCTAGTCTATCAAAGTAGGGCCAAAGAAACCAGCTGCCCAAAGAAATCTGAGCCTGGAGTTGGTGAGAAGCTGGGGCTGTTAAAATCTATTTTCCCTTGCCCTAGATCCACATTTAGCTCTTGTCTGTGCAGCTGCTGTCTGCTCTCCCTCCCCACTTTCCCTCCTACTCCTCTCCCTATTATCCCCCCCCAATAAAATAAAATAAAGAGACCAGACGAATTGCTAGGTGAAGGTACTAGAATGTATGAGTGTGGTAGGACAGGGGAATCTCCCTTCTTCCGTCTGCCACCAAATCACACAGATTAAAATCATTATAGTGGCACACAAGGAAAAAGTAATTTTGTCCTTTTAAGAGGAAAATACTGTGTCGTAAATTTAGAGCTCGAAGAGACCTTACAAGTCATCTAGTTTTCTTGCCTCAGTTTACAGGGGAAGAAAAAAAGCCAAAGATCTTGTTTACAAGGTCACATAGGTAGTAAAATGGCAAAGTTTTGATTTGAGCCTTCCTTCATAAAACATTACTTAGTTAAAAATTAAGAGTTGGGAATATAAAATTGCAAAATCTTTTTTTTCTTTTGGTGATTGATAGTTAAAAGAGAAATAGAAGAAAAAAAGGGAAATTAGGTAATAAACAAAGTCTTTGAAAAAAAGACAATTTCATGGAGTAGCAGTTCCATCTTATGGTCTTTTAGTATATTGCAGCTCAATACTTTTAATGTCATGTTGTTTTCGTGGCCATAGGCCAGTATATTTTTGTATTTCCCCTATTGACCAGACATAAGGTTAGGGGCTAAATCTTCCCAATAGACCAGAGATTTACAACCCTTAACATAGATGATTGGGCTCGGCATAGTGGTAAATGCCTATAATCCCTGCTATTGGGCATACTGAGGCTTGTGGATCCCTCAAGGTGTGATTTCTGAGCAGGAGGCTAAACAGATTGGATAGATGCACCGAGTCTAGCACCAATATGGTGAATCTGTAACAGTAAGGAGATCTTTTTAAACCTTCCTGATTGATTCATTATCACACTCACCACAGTGACGATTATAAACGTTTTCATCTCTCCTCAAATCCCCCTCTGCCACTTCAGTTGAAGACCTTGTCTCATTCTTCACCCAAAAAATGGAGTCCATTTGTCAAGAGCTCCCTCCTATCTCCTCCTCAGCTTACAGGACTGAGATGTCTTCCTTAACTACCTCCACCTTCATTTCATCCTTCTCTTACAAAGAAGTGGCCCTTCTCCTTGTCAAAGCTAACCCATCTACCTGTACCATTGACTGACTTTTCATGCCATCTTCTCCAGCAAATTGTCCCCTTTCTCATTTTCACACTCTAATTTTCAGGGTTTTTTTTCCTCTCTACTGGCTGTTTCCCTGATGCCTACAATATACCCATGGGTGCCCCCATCCTTAAAAAGCCCTTAGATGCTCCAACCATACCCTCCAGATATCATCCTATATCTTTCTTTTTCACTAAAATCCTTAAGAAAGTCATCTAATAGGTGTTTCTACTTTTATAGATGAGAGACTATCCAGGAGAAAAGGGTTTTCAACATCATCAAATGCTGCAGAGAATTTGAAAAGGATGAAGACCGAGGAAAGGCCATTGGGTTTGGCAATCATGAGATCATTGTTAATGTTGAAAAGTTTCAAGTGAGTGATAAAGTCAGAAGCCAGAATGCAAGGCATTAAGAAGTTAAATGAGAGGAGAGGATGTGGGAGCAATGGGTATGAAAAGGTATTTAGGAGTTTGGCTGGGAAAGAAAGAGGTATAGGATGATAGCTTAAGGAGATTGGTCGGGTTAAATGAGGATTTGTCAAGGATCAAGAAGACATATTTTTAGACAGGTGAGAAGGAGGAAGTAGCTAGGGAAAGATTGGAAAATTAGAGAAAGGGATTGATTGTAGGGACAATCTATGAGAGCAGATGGGAAGGGATGGCATCAAGAGCACAAGTAGTAGGGTTGGCTTTGGCAAAGAGACTAGAGTAAAGGAGAAGGGAATGGGAGGTGTTGTCGAGGGGCTTTGAGAGCTCAAATAGAGGAGAAGACATCAAATTGCCTCCATTTTCTCAATAAAATATGAGGTGAAGTCCTTTCCATACTATGCCACCTGCAGCTCCAGCCTCCCCTCTGCCTCCTCCTGGAACCCGAATTTCCACACCTGTGATCCAGGGTTTGGTTTGGTTTGGTTAGCTTTTGTTTTATCTAATCTTGATCTCAGGCCTAGCATGCCACTTTTGGGCCATCTCCATGCTATGCTTTGCTACACGTACCCCTAAGCCACTTTCCATTTTTAGCTATAGACCATAAGCTCTTTGAAGGCATGACAATCTTACTTGCTTGTATGTATTGTTGTTTGTCCTTCATTTCTGAAGAGGACCTATGACACCATGGGGTGATGTCTTGACTTGTGTGTGAATTGGATTTAAGTGAGGCAGAGTTGCACAGTCACCAGCCTGACTCTTCCAGAGTCATCGAAGTCCAGTAGCAAGACAAAAGCAAAGACATCCACGATGGCCAGAATAAAGGCTGGGATGCACCTTGGTGTCTTTGATGTCAAGCTTTAAGTGTTCCATGACACAATATGGGGCATTCAAGGAGGACCAGCACCTATGGTGTGAAGGCTTGCCAAGCCCTTTTCATCCACCTTTGGTATCCACCTGCCACCAGCTCTCAACTGTGACTCCAAGAAGCTTGTAGCATGCCCATTGGCCATATACTGCTAAAACCACATCAGCAGACAGGCTAAACCAAGTTGAGCATAACCAACAGGCCTCAAATCTGTCTGTGAGTTTGTCTACTCAAGCATGTGAAGACTTCCCCCAGTGCAATGGAATAGGTTTGTGTTTGTATAATCAATACTTAGCACAGAGCCTGGCACATGGCCAGCACTTAATAAATACTTTTTTATTCTTTCATTTTGCTGAGATAATAGGAAAAGGGTGTGTTGTAGGGGACTTGAGGAGAGAAGAGATGGTGTGCAACAGCTTCTTTGGAGAATACAGTAGAGAATCAGTTAAGATTAAGTTAAAGGATTGTCTTGAAGGACTGGGGGCTCAGTTGAATTTATACCACATATATGGTCACTATGCTAGCTCAGGTCCTTAGCACCTTTTCCCTGGACTCTCTTCATTAGTCCCTCTTCCTCTAGTGTCTCTATTCTCTAATCTATTCGTCAGAGTGGCCAAATAGGTGTTCCTAAAGCACAGGTCTGACCGTGTCACTCAAGAGGTAAAGAAGTTCTAGTGGCTTTCATTTACCTCCAGGATATCATCCAAAGTCCTTTGTTGTATGTTTAAAGTCCATCATACTGCGGCTTCAGCTTGTCTTTGCCCTCCCTCCTCACTGCCACCTTGTCCAATCCCTGGCTTCCTTCAAGGTTTTGCTAAATGCCATCTCTATTGCAATAACAGTCTGGATCATTAAATTGCTTCTGCCTTCTCCTACCCCCAAGATAGTACTTTTATTTTCTTTTGGTGTACACATATCTGTGTATCTTAAAAGACTGTTTACAACAGATGTCTCCACTTTCTCTTTTCTCACTTTCTTCTTAACCTCTTACAATCTGGCTTCTGACCTTATTCCACTGAACCTGCTCTCTAGTGATCTCTTAGTTGCCAAATCCAATGACCTTTTCTCTGACCTCCTTCTCCTCGACCTCTCTGCAACCTTTGACATTGTTGATCATTCTCTCCTCCTTGATGCTCTTTCATTTCTCAGTTTTCCAGATGCTACTCTCTCTTGGCTCTCCCCTTACCTATCTGGCTGTTCTTTCTCAGTCTCCTCTGCTACATTCTCATCTGGACCATGCCCTCTAACTTTAGGTGTCCCTAAGGGTTCTGTCCTGGGCCCTCATCAGCTCACCAATCACCATCTATGTAATGGCAGTTCTCAACTCTTCTGTGACCTTCAATTTTACATCTCCAGGTGCCTTTCAGATATCTCAAACTGGATATCCACTCGACATCTTAAACTCGATTTGTCCAAAATGGAACTCATTATCTTTCTCCCTAAACCCTTTTCCTTCCTACCTTCCCTATTACTGTCAAGGGCAACATCGTTCTCTCAGTCCCTCAGGCTAACAACTTAGGAGTCATCTTGGACTTCTCCCTGTCTCTGACCTTCCATTTCCAACCTGTAGCTGAGGCCTGTCAGTTTGACCTTTGCACTGTCTCTTGGATATGGACCCTTCTCTCCTCCAACACTGCCCCCACTGTGGTGCACATCCTCATCACCTCCCGCCTTGGTTATGACAATAGCCTGGTGGTTGGCCTCCCCCAAGTCTCTCCTTACTCCAATCCATCCTTCACTAAAGTAATTTTCCTAAAGCTCAGGTCCAACCATGTCACCTTTCTTCTCAATAAACTGCAGTTACTCTTGACTGCCTCCAGGATCAAATACTAAATGTTCTGTTAGGCATCAAAAGCCCTTTATATACCCTAGCTCCTTCCTACCCAGACACCTACTATTCCATCCTGAGACTTTGGCTGTTTCAGGAACAAGATATTTTATCTCTTAGCTCAGAGCTTGCCTGGAACACTCACTCTCCCTGTTCTACTCT